ATCCCCATCTTGCCCTACGCCCAGATATCCCGCAAGCCTCAGATTAAATAATTTGCCTCTCTTGGGATTGAGGTCCTGTTTTTTTGTACACTGACATCTACTCTGAGGACAATCCTGGCAGGAGAGATGGCTGTCTTTGACCATGACTCTTTGGCACAGTGAAGGTAAATTTATAAATCAATAAAATTAAATCAATAAAATCTCAATGCATTACGGCAACCTCAAACCTGTATCATGTTCCACTCAATCTTTTTCATGCTGGAGACAAAAACCATCTTAAAAGCCAAACTGCATTATTACCAAGAGTACTTAGGGCATCTAGGGGACACAGTGCCCCCAGGAAGTGGTGATCTTGGCAGACCAGGCTGAAAATGGCACACTGACCTTCGGCTGGAAAGCCCAGGTCTAGTTCCAGCTGTGGAGGCCCACAGGGACTGTTGTGGCCACTACCCTGGAATTGTGGATATGTGCAAAATCCTAGTAGCCTTCAGGGAGGTAGGCAGATTTTCCCAACTCAAATGGAATTTCCTTCTTCCCCTGATGAAAAAGCTGGTGAGGGTGATCAGGGTGGAGATTCCCATGGGTGACTGTGATGTCTGAGCCTTTATGAAATGATCCACATGAGGTAGTTAGCAACGACCATGGTAATAAAGGCAATTAAGAGGACAAGAGTCTTTTTTATAATGGTCAGACCAAGAGTAGGCTAACGCCTCCAAAACACTTGGTGCTGAAGCTCAGGGGTACAGCATTTGTAAAGACAAAAACCACAATTACATCAGTGTTCCAGGGAGTTCCATCAGTGTTAGAGGGCATTCTGGCTGGTCTTATGTCAATTTGATACAAGCTAGAGTTATCTGAAAGGAGGGAACCTCAATTGAGAGGATGCCTCCATAAATCTGGCTATAAGACATTTTGTTAATTAGCGACTGATGGGGGATGACCCAGCCCAGGTGGATGGTGCCATGCCTGGGCTGGTGGTCCTGGGTTCTATAAGAAAGCAGGCTGAGCAAGCCAAGGGAAGCAAGCCAGTAAGCAGCTCCCCTCCATGGCCTCTGCATCAGCTCCTGCATCCAGGATCCTGCCCAGTTTGAGTTCCTGTCCTGACTTCCCTCAATAATGAACAGCAATATGGAAGTGTAGGCCCAATAAACCACTTCCCCTTGCTTTTTGATCATACTGTTTTGTCACAGCAACCTTGTAACACCTGTCTTTTTGCAGAACTTAGCAGGATTTTCTGGATACAACATTTGCAACAGGTAGACAAATATATTGGCCAATAAAAGAATACACAGGTGAGAAGGTACAGACATCAATGTACTTGCGTTGCAAACATGAAAAACTGAGTTCAATTCCAGAAGTTGTGTGTAAATTTCCTGTAATCCTAGCACTTGGGAGATTGAGACAAACAGGTGTCTGGGGCTCCCAGGCCTGCTAGTCCTGGTTCACTTAGCCAACAACAGGGCCAGCTTCATTTCTGTTAATGTGATAAAATATCTTGGCCCAAAGCAATTTAGGGAGTGTGGTAGTTTGAATATACAAATGCATGGTTGATGGGGGAAGTCCTTCTGTGTATACGTTGTCCTACTAGTTGATTAAATAAAGCACTGTTGGCCAATAGGGAAGCAAGATAGGTGGTACTAGAGGTCGAGGAGGATTCTGGGAAACTGAGCCAAAGTCAGTCATGATGTAGGACACCAGAGGAATAAGAGGTCCAGACTCTTTTTCTGGTAAGAGAAGACCACGTGGAAATACTCAGATTAGCAGTTATGGGTTAATAATTAAGTCATAGCCAGCCAATAAGAAACCAAGCAAACGGCCAACAGCTTCATAATTACTATAGCGTCCTGTGTGTCATTTGGGGTTGACGCGGCACTGGGACCAGGCTGGCGGGAAGACTACACGTTACACTTGGTGATATTTATAAAGCTGGGGATATGGCCCAGCAGCAGAATGCGGGTCCTACATGCTCGGTGTCAATTCATAAGGCCGTGAAAGGAGGTGACACAGAGAGAGGACCCAGGACGACTGCTCAGGCGTGCTGCCTACCGGCATCTGTACAGCCCTGTGCAGCTGGATACTTTCCGTCTTCCAGTTTTTGGGGGTTTGTTTTCTTAGGCTGTAGTTAGAGAGCAGAGCCCCCAGCGCGCCGGGCAAGCCGTGTGTTCCCACAGCCACCATCTCACTGCTTCTCTTGTCTAGCCCGCACACTAGGTGTGGCGGTTCCTGCTGAGCAGAGAAACTGAGGTGTATCACCTGACCCATGTGACCAGTGGCGGAGCCTGGGACATGGATGCGTTTCCCATCTCAGGCCCTCTTCAAGGCTCTGGAGGACAGGCCGCCACGTGTGAGATGAGAAGACTTGCCACCGAGGATGACAGGCAGTGAGAAGGGGAGAAGATTTCTGGCTCAAGACAAGAAGGGCACGGTGAATCAGCCAGTTTGCCTGACACGTACGGGTGTCACACTGCTATATTTAGGATGCAGCATCCTGAGGCTTCTCATAAGTGACTACAAATCCCCTCGCTGCACAGTGTGGCCAAGCACACCGGAGTTTGGAGCGACTCAGGGACTTCCTGTCAGCACAGCAGGACGAACACGGCTACCTGCCTCCATCTGAAGTCACTGCTTTGATAGGTAGTGAGCCTGTCCCCCCTGCCCCCCCCACAGGCATTGGAGATGCAGACACTGTGGGCTACTCACTAGCTCTTGATGATATAAGAACTGATTCTGCATGGGAGATTTGGCCCCAGCACTCTGTGATGATGAAATGGCTTGTTAGAATTCACACCCAGGTTTCTAGCTCCATTTTCAAGGTACCAGGCCCCAGGGGTTACAGAGGCATTGGTGTTTTCTCACTAACCTGAGGGGCTCAGAGAGGGAGGTGTGTAGGGAGAGATCTATGTCCCCATAGCACTGGCCATGCCCATGGTCACAAGTGCATAGAACATACGGGGGATAAAAGAGCTTGGGGTTGGAGACTCGCTCTCCTTTGGGTTCTGGTTGCACTCTGGTCATGTCCTGGAGAACAGTGTTCAGACCTTTGGTTCTGGGCTTTCTTGGCTTCTCATGTAAGTGATTGCTCCCTTAATAAAATATCTTGGGGCTGGAGAGGTGGCTCAGAGGTTAAGAGCACTGACTGCTCTTCCAGAGGTCCTCAGTTCAATTCCCAGCACCCACATGGTGGCTCACAACCATTTATAATGAGATCTGGTGTACTCGTCTGCTTCCAGGCATAAAGACAGGCAGAACACTGTATATAAATAAATAAATTTTAAAAAATCTTATGACATTCCCATTTTGTGTAGCACAACATTTTAGCAATAGAGGTGGCTGTGTGTGGAAAGGGAAAGCATTGCATTAGCTCTGTGGGGGCGTGGCTCAAGTCACCTGACCCGTCCCCTGTCTGACTCTCATCAGACACCCCACTTCTTCACCCCAGGCTTCCTCACCAGGATCCATGGGGTGAGCCATGTGGCCTGGAGGGGTTGTCCCTACAGCTGCGCCCCCTAACACTGGGTGGCAGGCTGGAAAGAGGGGAGTCAGTGGCACTTTGCTCTCTGTGTGAGGCCCCGTATGTCTGTTGGGGGCTTGTCTGGGATTGAGGGTGATCTAGGGCTGCGAGGGAGTTGGGATGTTGTGAGCTGCAGGGGAAGAGGAGCGTGTTTCAGGCTGTGTGCAAGCATCAGCTTCCTGGGACCATGATGTGCTGGGGTCATGCTTACCCTCTGCAGCTTTCTTGATAGAGTTAGCCAGAGTTAGCCTTCACTGGATACCTTTCTACAAGTTGCTGGGCCACAGGGTTGAGTGGTCAGCACTCATCCTTGGCCACGTCTCACAGAAGGTAACCCAGTTTCGGGGTCAAAGCCATCAAGGAGTGTCCTTCAGAGCCTTTGCTCCAGTGCCTAGAACAGTAAGTACCACACTGCCTAGAACAGCGCCCATACTGTACAACTGCCAGACACTGCGGAATTAATGAGGTAGGTGGGGATGTACCAACTCTGCAAACTGTCTTCCCCTCTCACTGGTGAAGAGCAAGCACACAAGGGATCACGCTCAGGTGCATGGAACTCTGGGGCAGCAGGGCTGCTTCCCTGAGCCCCCCTCCAAAGCCCCAGATGGCCTCTGTGGGCGGCAGAGCATCCCACTTTAGCTGGCACCCATCCTGGTGTCAGAACTGAAGCTCTCCCGTCCCGAGAGAGAGCTGTGATTGTTGGTCCCATTGCACTTGAGTGACCATCCTGACTGACAAGCGTGGAGGTTCCGAGGGTCAGCCCTTTCTCCAAATCCTTCCCCAGAGCCTGCATGGCCCCAGGGCAGGTATCTCCACCCTTCTGGCCCTTTCTCTTCAGTAAGCTGAGAAGCACCCCACGTGTACACTACAAGATGCAGCAGAGGTTGGAACAAAATGCCACACAAAAAGCCAGATGTGCCAGGACCTGGCACTTGGCAGGCATACTGCAGGGGACTAAGGGGACTGAGCGGGTGGGGTTGGAGGGACTGAGAGGGACACTCTGTCCCGGTAGGGAGTGCTGGCCTTCTGGGTCCACCAGGATGAGGCCTGCTTCCTAGCACTCCCTGCTTTTGTTGACCTCTGTGCCAGACCTTTACATATTCGCTGGGTCTGGCCCTGGGCTGGGGCACAGAGAGCTTGGTACATATGGAATGACGCTCTCCACTGTCGGGGAGCATCAGACAGCGTGGCTCAGACTGAGGGCTGGCCAGAGCTGTGGGGTGCAGGACGGGGGAGGGCTGCATGGAAGGGCGTGGAGTCCCTTCCTTCCAGTTTTGACACCAGTCCATCTGAGCCTTGACAACTCCCTCAGCCGTGGTCCATTCTGCCCATAGAGTCCAGGCCTGAAGAGGATTGTGACAGGAAGTCCACGTGTATGTGAGCCTCAGATCTCCTTCCAGCACTCCTCAGCTGACCAGCTGTTAGCTAGTTCCTGTCCTTGGCCATAACTTAGCTCTTTCCCTGCCTGCATGACTCAGGGTACCATTTTTAGAGGAGAGTGAGAACTCAGTCCCTCACTATCACGAATTATGCAGTGGGGTTTCCCTCATTCGTTCCCGCATTTGGGGAAATCGCAGGGGTTGGCACATCCGGAGTGCAATGGATAAGTCTCGCCCTGGGAAAACCACCTTAGTGATTTTCCTGCCAGGGAAGTATTCTGGGTACCATCTTAAAGCCTGTGAGCCCACATGTTTTTTCCTCTCTCATGGGCGTACTCACTAGATTGCCCTTTGGGGTGACTTGCCCTTTGGGGGTGCCATCTCTGTTATCCATCCCTGCTTCTCCCATCTGAGGATGGGGTCCCTGCCTCTCTGATGGTGTCCTTTATGTCACTTGTGCTCTGACATAGGAATGAGCAACAGCAAAGGGGATGAGGGCTGGAGAAGCTGGTCCTGGAGCCCCAGCACCCCCCACTGCCCATCTGCACGGCTCGCCATGCCATGCTGGTTGGCTGACTGACACAGCAGGCCCAGGTGAACTTCTGCGGGAGGGAGAAGGCAGGGCAGGAGGGCAGGAGGAGGGGGCAGCGGCTGAGCTGGTGCCGCTGTGGCAGGGCGCACAGCGGCGTGTGGGAGACGGTAGAACCCATTAGTCACCCTCAGGCCTCCCTTGGCACGGAAGCCCGGCTTAATGCATTGCTAATCAGCTTCTAGAGCTGCGGGTTGAGGCTACAGATGGGGTTTCCTTGCAGGACCTGCAGGGACAGGATGAGTGGGAGGTTGGCAGGCTCAGTCTGCAGCATATGCCCCCTCCTTTGCTGCCTTCTTTCCAAGGGGCTTCCTGGGGTCCTGATGTTGAGACTGAAGCTTCAAAAATAACCAGATTTAGCCGGGTGTGATGGTGAGTACTTATAATTCCCTCATCTGGAACGTGGATGCAGGAGGATTGCAAGTTCTGGGACAGTCTGGCCCCACTAAAACAGAAGCCACCCCTCCCAAACCAGATCCAGACCCAGCTCTGACATTGGGATGCACCCCTCCTGGCTTCCTGGTATAATCAACATCAGGATCAGGGAACGGCTCCCCCAGCCTCTCCTGGAATGTCCTGTCACAGGAAGCACACACCGAAGAACCCAGGCCGGCAGTCGGCACAAGGATTCAGCTCTGCAACTCTGGTGTCAGACCTTTGCTTCCAGTGTAGGGATCTGAGGTCTTGAGTTGCATCGCCTTCAGAAAGACAAGTTCATGTCCAGGGTTCCGGTGTGGATCCAGTGTACATTTTTTTTTACCACAACGGGAGAAAAGGGGGGATGGATAAATGGATGGTAAAACATAGGCTTAAGAAATTCTGCTTCCAGGCCGGATGGAGTCGTTGGGATCAAATTCACTCACTCAACTGGAAAACACAGATCAGTATATGACGAGTTTTCAGGACTTCGATGTCAAGCAAGTAAGGCTTGAATATGGAGAGAGCACGGTGACCCTGGAGGCCTGCAGAGGGCACTCACAGTGCCCACAGACTGTGGCTGGTGAGTCGTGCATGCGCACATGCTGCTGGGACACAGTCAACCGAATGGATGGCAGTGAGCAGTGCCTGGTGCCCACACAAAATCACCACTCCTGTCTCTTCCCATAGGCCACTCTGTGGATCTCATAACTCACAGGGCAGCATGGATACTGGGCCAGCCTTGTTAGCCTCAATAGTTATTGTCAGATTAAATATGGCCCTTTGTAATGCCTAGCAAATCATAAATCCCCAAAGAGTCCAAACTGCCCCCAAATGAGTGGGTTTTATCCAGAATAAAGATGGAGAATGTTTAGATAGAAATACCTATCATGCAACGAGGTGAAATTCACAGTGCTTAGCCAGGTGTGGTTCACACGCCTTTAATTCCAGCACAAGGGGAGGCAGAGGCAGGCGGATCTCAAAGTTCAAGACTAGCCTGGCCTATAGGGCGAGTTCCAGGACATTCAGGACTACACAGAAAAACCATGTCTTAAAAGAGAGACAGGGTGGTGGTGGTGGTGGTGGCGGTGGCGGCGACGGCAGCGCACGCCTTTAATCCCAGCACAAGGGGAGGCAGAGGCAGGTGGATCTCTGTGAGTTCGAGGCCAGCCTGCTTTACAAATGCTATACAGAGAAACCCTGTCTTGAAAAAATCGAGAGAGAGAGAGAGAGAGAGAGAGAGAGAGAGAGAGAGAGAGAGAGAGAGAGAGAGAGAGAGAGAGAGAGAGAGAGAAAGGGAGAGACACACAGAGAGAGAAGTTCATAGGGTTTGGCATCCAACCAAGAATGATCAGACAGGCAAGGAGATGCTACCCAAACTAGGAGGCAAGGGCATCAAACACATGCTGAAGACTAAGAATTAGGGTGAGAGGACATTCAAAACTGTTACATTGTGTTCCACGTGTTTTTAAGAGGCTTAAGTAAGCAATGAACATGTTAAGAAAATGCAAGATAATTCTTAAAAGACACAAATCAAGTGTCTGGAGATGACACCCACAGTCTCTGGGATAGTAATGCTCTGGACAGGCTTGCCACTAGTTAAAAGACTGCAGAAGAAAATTGTACTGATGCTGAAGAGGTATTGATGACAGCTACTCACACGAAACAGCGAGAAAAAGAACAGAGTGCCAACGGGCTGTGAGGCAGTTTGAGGCAGCCTAATGTAGTCAGAGTCTCAAAAGACAAGAAGAAGGAACAGAAAAAAATACACATCAATGCCAGAAAAGTTTCCGAAGGTGATGAAACTGTAACACACACATACATTTTCCAGATTTATTTCATTTTTGATGACATGGACATGTATGTGGGCTGGTATATGCATATGATTGCAGTACTCACAGAGGATGGAAGAGTGTCAAATCTGGAGTTACCGGGAGTTATGAGTGACCCGATGTGGGTGCTGGGAACCAAACTGGGGTCCTCTAGAGGAGCACACACACTCCTAACTGCTGAGCCTCCTCTCTTGCTTCCTGTGCATACACTTGGAAGTCCCAAATGCTAGAAACACGAAAAGAACTGCACAAAGGTAAATCTTCACCAGATTGCTCAAAATCCTGGGAAAAGGGTAAATCTTAAAAGCAGCCAGAGGGGAAAAGAGACACCATTCTTAGAGGAACAAAATACAGACAGCAGAAGATTTTCCCTGGAAACAACACCAGCCAGAAGTTGAAGCCGCATTTTTAACTGAACCCAATGTCCAGGCACTCAAAAGCTGAAAGGATCCGTCCAGTCCTTCAGTTAGCACTAGACATGGCAAAGCCCTTCCAGGCAGAAAGAAAGAAAGAAAGAAAGAAAGAAAGAAAGAAAGAAAGAAAGAAAATGATGCCCCAAAGAAATGAGGCTACACAAATGAAAAAAGGCATAAGTAGTAACTAATGCAGGGGGAAATACGTAAGATTTCCCCCTTATTAAGTCAATTGAAGAAAACGGACTTTTAGCAAAGAGAGTAATATTGTTTTATGGTTTATAACATACACACACATCTCAGGGAGACAGGGAAGGTGCAACTATGGGTCTCCAACTCTTGGGACAGAAGCAAAGTTTGGCCCAACAGTAAGACAGAGCACACAGAAACTGTTATATAAGTGATATTTACCTGGAGATGCACCCCGCCCCCCCCCACTCTCTGGGCTCCATGAAGCTCTGGGTTTTAAAATACTACCTGGAAACTTGATCTAGAGAAGTGCCTGTGATTTTGATGCCTTTGCTAATTATTCATTACATTCCCACAGACATGGCACCACAGCCTCTTCTGCTGTCTGAGGAAAACACCCAGGCACTTACTAGGTCTTTTCAGTGGGAACCTGAAGAAGACAGGCCGACTGGTTAGAACCATCTGGGATAATAGGCAATTTGTACTTTAGTGATAATTTTTGTTTTAAGAAAACATGGACTGTTGGGGACACAAAGGTCCTTGTCCCCAGAGAGCACTAGGGGGCCAGGGTTGTTGAGTACTCAGGGGCCTCTCCTCGAAGGAAGAATTGCCTATTTCTACCCACAAGGCTGGGACTAAGTATTGTTAATGACCTGATGACCTTTTTGTTCTCTGTGGAGGCAGACCACACCCAAATCCCCTGAATGTGTACCTAGACTGTCTCTCCCTAGACCTTTATCTTCAGCTCCAGCTAACAGACCCATCTGCAGGGGTAATGTCACACGCATGCTATGCCCTGCTGACCTCTATGCTGTCTTGGGTGGAGACCATACTAGATTCTAGGCCTTTTAGCTGTAGAGCCCACCCTCAAGGTCACATCTACTTTGCCAAGGACTTTCTGTGTAGTTGCACCGTAGTCTTTATTGTGCACCTGGAGTAGGAATGACTGTTGCTTGGAAGCTTTTCCCCAAATTGTGTTTTAAATATGCTGACAATGGAGCTGGGGTCTAGCTCAACAGTGGAGCTCTGGCGTAGCATACATGTGTCCCAGGTTCAATCCCCACTACTGTAAAAAAAAAAGTAGAATAAAAAACAATCGATAAAAAATATGTTGATAATGAACTTCTGGGCATCAGACTCCCAGAGTTATGATCCAGGGTGATGAAGTCAATCCCAACTGAGTTATCACTGTCTCCTTCCCTCTTCTCACTTCATTTTCCTGCCTGACATCTGCGGGGACCCAATACCCACCCTCCACCTTACCTCCCCACCCCGCCCCACAAATGGGCTAAATAGCAGATTGCATGGCTCCCCAGGATTCTATTTCTTGTGCAGTGGCATTCTCTGGACAAGAAATGTCTACTAATTTCTGACAGCTCTGTTGGAAAGATCCCACAGGTTCCTTTATGCAATACAAAGAAGACCTTTGTTTTCAAGAGAAAACAGAGCCATTTGTCCAATATGACTAAAAGTCTTTTGTGGTTCTCCCTCTCTGTGAAATAAACAAAATAAGTAAAAAGCAAATTTACTGTGAGCTCCTAAGGCCCTGGAGGCGAGGCAAGACAAAAGGGCAGGCAGGAAATATCTCGGTAGTGGTTAGACCCTCGTGGTGCTTCCGGAAACAGGCCCAGGGTTGGCATCCTGTTCCAGATGCTTTCCCACCTGCAAAGGCCATGATTCTGAGGGGTGGGCTGAGGGAAGATAAGGGGGTAATCTCATCTCCCCAGACCAGAAAGCCTTCTCAGACTCCTCCGCCATGAGGTTAAGTCATACGAGTTGACAGGTCTGAAATGGTCAATTATTTGCAGTTGCACATGACATAATCTCCACCTAGTTC